TCTTGGGCCATCAGAGGGCAGGTAATATTCAAACGTCGAATATTCCAGAGGGGCAGAATAATATTGTTGTCGCGAAGGCAATGTCTCGCGGAAAGCTTTTTCCTTCGCAGCTACAGCTGGTGTTCGTTCTTTGCCAGATGCTCTTGTTAGGGGCGCTATTTAATGACTTGTCTCGGGGAGGGCGCCTCGAGGAAGAATGAAAGTCTGAACAGAAATGGCTGCATCCGGTCGGTCACTGTGCGCTTCACGCCAAACCGCGCTGCAGAAATTAGGTGGCTTTATACTTCAGCTAACCACTACCACCACCGCCCCAAACGAGCGAGGCACCGCTTTGGTCCTCCGGGGCAAAAGGGGACCGAAGTTTGAGCACTTGTTAGCGCGGCCGTTTTAGAGAATGTGCCCGTTTCCAGAAGCTTCCACCGTTTTGTTGCTAAGCAGGTTTCACGCGACCATGAAAACTCGTGTTGCATTGGTTATCCTCGGCTTGCCTCATTGGTCCGCGCACCCGTGGATGCTGGAAAAGCCTATTGAAGCAGCGACTCAGGCCCTTTTTGGGGTGTGCGGACTCGGGGTCAACAGCGCATCTCACCACCGGAGACCAGTCATGCAAGCCGATGGGTATGCCACCTGTTTCCACATCTTGTATTTGTGACTCAGTGCATTTTGTAAAGTTAAGTTATATTATATAAATAAAGCCCCAATGAGTGCTCCCCGAAATCAACGTGTCGACTTGTCATCGCTTGCCTGTGCGGAATCGCTCCCTCACTTATTCGTCCGGATGGTCATCAGATGTGTCTAGCTTAACCCCCCCCCCCCCCCCCCGATGTTTCGCTACAAAGTGGTGCAGGTTCTGGGTAGTGATATTAGCACTCTAAAATTATGCCCCGTGTCAATAACAAGTATATGCAAACAACCTCGGACTTTTCTACTATGACGGAACCCCCTACCTTCCTCTGCGCTATGTCTACCCCCCAAGCAAAAGCTTTCGTCGGACCCCCAGTGTTCAGAGGCGTGCCGGAGGAATATATTTCCGAGTGGCTACTTCGCTACGAGTATGCAGCGTCATTGAACAATTGGGACCAACCCACAAAGGTTAATTTTTTTAATTTGGCACTAGATAAGAATGTAAACAAGTGGCACACGACGCAAATTTTAACGGGCGCCCCGAATTCATGGGAAGAGTGGGCGACGCTCTTGAAAACTTGATTCACAAGTCGGCACTCGATTGAGATCGCCCATTTGCGTCTACAAAACCGGATCCAGCTGCCTTCCGAAACCCCTGGTATTATGTCGCACAACCTTGTGCTAGGGTCAACCCGTCCATCACAGAAAACGATCGGTTGCGGCACCTTTTGCGCGGATTGCGCCCGGACATTCAAGAAAAAATGATAATTGCAAACCCAGAAACCTGCGCTGCTTTCCTCCAAATTTCGCAGCGCATTAATCTGGCATCTTTAATGAGTCGTGCGTCAGGGACCCAGCCGATTGGCACCTACTATTCTACCAGCCTGCAGTCATGGACGCAAGACATCGCGCGTCCGGTTGGTTTTGCACCCGCCGCAGCAACAATACAGCCCCCTCCGTGTGTCGCCAGCTGCGCCGCGGCTGAGTTGCGTTGCCCGCGGGAGGCTCTCCACCGCGAAAGAGACCTAAAGGCAATTGCCGACTCCATCGCGTCGCTTTTTGACCGGCTCAAAAGCATCGAGGGCGACATGTGCCGCCCCCAAATGCCTTGGCCACCTAGAACTTCCCACGCCAATGACGGGCGTCCCCGATGCCAGATTTGCTCCCGCATTGGCGACATAGCGCTGGAATGCTGGCTCCGGTTTGAAGGCTGCAGAATCAACCATAAAGAGTCCGTTGAGAACCAGATTGAACAGCATAATCCTACGGGAAACGTGAACGGCCGGGCCTAGGGGGCCATCCCGGTCGACCCATCGCCACACTGTCAAAAAGTCAGCTGATCACAGCCCCAGTTATGCGACAGATTGAGCGGGCTGATGTCGCCACGCTTTCCCGCCTTCCTCATGATCCCGCGCCGGTAAGCGAAGAAACCCCCTTACCACTGCTGGTTCTGGATCAGGGGAGTATTGTAAAAAAGCAGAGAGAGGACTCGTGGATGAGAGGCATCATGCAACGCCTGGAACAGCCAGGCGCTCCTGTTGTCAGAAAAACTAAAAGAACGGCACGGAGCTTTCGGCTGGTCGACGGTGTATGGCATCGAAGGGCGCAGGGATTTCGGGATCTCATGGCACTCGTTGTTCCGCACAGCTTGAAAACCGATGTTACAAGACATTGTCATGAAGACGTGACGGGAGGTCACTTCGGATTCCGGCGAACTTGGGAGAAAGTGAGAAGGCGCTACTTTTGGCCAGATATGTTTGCGCATGTACGCAATTACGTACTGTCCTGCGCGGAATGCCAGGCGACAAAACCGGAACCAGGCGTCCCTCCGTTTTCTTCTTTGAACGGCAGCAAACCGTTTTTGTCCATTGACGCGAGTCGCCACTGTCAATGCGGGGACGAAACTGCCGCACCGGCTCAACAAAGCGCGAAAAGATAAACGAAAAAGAAAACAGCGAGCAAAAAAAAAAAAAGAAGGCCCACGAGGCCAAACGATGCAGTGAGGTCCATCGCGAGGGAGACTTGTACGTGTGGACTCCCCCACGCGCAAGGAGAAAGACAACAAAGCTTTATGGCAGCGACAGCAGACCTTGCCGTCTTCTGCGCCACGTAGGCGAAAACATCTGGGAGATGTTACCCCAAGATGAACAAGAACGCCACGTTGTTAATGTTAAGCGTCGAAAGCCCTACCACGTTAGATCCTCTTCTGATGCCGACGACGCCGACGATGAATCCGGTGATAGTGAGAGGTGCGCGATCGAAGTGGTGATGTGCGCGAGTGCAGTGCGAGGAGTGATATCCGCGAACAACATCGAGGTGTTCACGTGCGCGAGTGCAGTATGGACAGTGATGAACAGGAAATGCGTCCAAGTGTTTTGCGCAAGTGGGGTTCACGAGTAGGTCAAGAACTCCATTTGCGACATAGTGTGCGCGGGACAGAGACCAGTGTTCCAGTACAGCAGTGCGAAGGCTCTGACACTGACACTGAACTTTACTCCGACTGGAAGACATTTCCAAGTGGTAACAATGCACAAAAAACGTCGGTGCTTACGACACGGACACTGAGTTGTATTACAGTGCTGACGAGTGAACTGCATTGATTTCTGTTTCGCGATGCTTTTTGTTTTTCATCTGTGGTTTTAAATATGTAATTGTTTTAAACTTTTTACCTTTTAGACCCATGTATAAGCACCTTTAAATAAGCACCTCACACACTTGTTGAATGCAAAACTTTTTTGTGTTTTTACTCTATTTGTTATCGCGTTTTGCAGATAAAACAAGTGGGACACTCCTTTTTTTTGTGTGTGTGTGTGGGGGGGGGGGGGGTCGCGAAGGTAATGTCTCACGGAAAGCTTTTTCTTTTGCAGCTACAGCTGGAGTTCGTTCTTTGCCAGATGCTCTTGTTAGGGGGCGCTGTTTAATGACTTGTCTCGGGGAGGGCGCCTCGAAGAAGAATGAGAGTCTGAACAGAAAGGGCTGTATCCTGTCGGTCACATTGCGCTTCACGCCAAACCAGGCACCGTGCCGTGCTTTTGACCGGACAGCAGAAATTAGGTGCCTTTCTCCTTCTTCTAACCACTACGACCACAGCGCCAAACGAGCGAGGTGCCGCTTGGGGTGGTGGTGGTAGTGGTCCCCTTTTGCCTCTGGGGCAAATTTCGGTCCCCTCTTGCCGGAGGCAAAAGGGGACCGAAATTTGAGCACTTGTTAGCGCGTGAAGGCTGTTTTAGAGAATGTGCCCGTTTCCAGAAGCTGCCACCGTTTTGTTGCGAGGCAGGCTTCACACGACCATGAATGCTCGCGTTGGATTGGTTATCATCGGCTTGCCTGATTGGTCCGCGCACCCGTGGATGCTGGAAAACCCTATTTAAGTAGCGACTCGGGCCCATTTTGGGGTGAGCGGACTCGGGGTCAACAGCGCATCTCACCACCGGAGACCAGTAATGCAAGCCGATGGGTATGCCACCTTTTTCCATATCTTGTATTTGTGACTCAGTGCACTTTGTAAAGTTAAGTTATATTATACAAATAAACCCCCAATGAGTGCTGCCTGAAATCAACGTGTCGACTTGTCATCGCTTGCCTGTGCGGAATTGCTCCCTCACTTCTTCGTCCGGATGGTCATCAGATGTGTCTAGCTTACCCCCCCCCCCCCCCCTTCCGTAGTTTCGCTACACCATAGTCAATGGCCCGCAGGTGAGTATTAGAGTGTCGTGCTTGGCTTCTGAAAATGAAGATACGTGGTTATATAGTCTACGTAATCATGAACTATATATATATATATATATATATATATATATATATATATATATATATATATATATATATATATATATATATATATATATATATATATATATAGTGATATGACGGAATATATAGTGATTGTTCGTGTATATATATATATATATATATATATATATATATATATATATATATATATATATATATATATATATATTATATATATATATATATATATATTTATATACATATATACACGAACAACGCAACTTCGAAGTAATCACACTGTAACTACTTCTAAGTGGCGTTGTTCGTATATTCAAAACTTCATTTATTTTTCGACGTGTTTCGGTCAGAGCCTAACCTTTATATATAAAGATATTTTACACATACGGAACATGGCGGCAACGGCAAATGCCCGCTCAGAGTGTACATACAGTTGGCAGTAGAAAAGAATATGACATGGCTCATTTTAGTCCGTACTATATATGTCTATTACTTTACCAAAGAAAAGTAGCCTGGTTGGAAAAGTGCCTTTCAGCGGGCGGTTACATTGGCCTCAATTGCACTTAGAAGAAACTTTGTCGCTTCTTGAGTAAAATGATCGTTAAACGCATTCGATTCTGTTTCAGGGCAGCAGTAGCCAGTGTGGCCTACCTGGCACTTTTGTTTTGCGCAACGCCGATGGCACGCTGCGAGAAATTGAGACCGCACATAGTTTTCTTCCTTGCAGATGATGTGGTAAGCTCATGGTCACGAGGTACTTCTCGATGCCCCATACAATTTTCTTTTCCTTTTTTTAGCCTGGTCGTAAATTCTTAACTGGTACGGCTCCTCAGTATAATATGAATTTTGTGGCATCTATAAAAAAAATGCCTGTTTTTAGCTAGAGCGTTTTGTACAGTTTTTTACCCTTGTTGCTTTGCACGTTTCGGTTGTTCTTGCGTCGCCCACGTGTACACCTTACAAATACGCATGAAATGGTTCAGTTTAATCGTCTTATATGTTTACAAATGTTAACGAATGAAGCACAAAACATTGTTGCGGAGAATGTTGGGTGATGTAGCCCTCATATGTGTTTTTGGTGAATCTGCAAAGATGTCTGTTCGTGCACTAAAGCGAGGCGATAATATTTAGCGATATTGATGGTGCAATTCAAGATATTTCACAAGACTTAGCACGATGAGGAATGCTGGAATGAATACATACAACTCCGTCGCACGCACATGCTTGAATTTCTAAAATATTTAACTGATTATAACTTAGCTATCTCCGAAGAACACCTAAATATTTATCTACAGTACCCTTTCTTTTTCACACGTTTGTCCTTCGAATCTGCGTCAATCGAACATTTTTAAAAAGTAAGAAGCACTCAGGAGGATGCATGGCGCCCACGATTTATATGGTGAAGAGTTTTGTATTCCATGTGCTTATACCCTGTAAAGGAAGAATGCTGTCCGCATAAAATAAGGAGTCGAAAACACCCGTGCGCACTCCCGTACGCGCGCTTGAGTGCGGGAGTAACCAGCGCGAGGATCGGCAATAATTCACTCTCACGAATAGTGCTGACGTAAGATGTTTTGGGGAATACGGGCCTTCACTTATTTCACGCGCTTTTACGCCATCGGTCATTGCAGGGATGGGACGACGTCAGCTTTCACGGCTCGTCCCAAATCCCGACGCCTAACTTGGACACCCTGGCTGCGGACGGAGTCATACTGAACAACTACTACGTCACGCCGTACTGCACTCCATCGAGGGCTGCCCTCATGACGGGACTCTACCCAATACGCACAGGTAAGCTCGAACTGAGGCAAACACAACGCCTGATTGAGAGAACAAGTCACTTCAGCTATGTTCACTTATGAAGACACACTGCGCTAGTGTTCGTGCATGATGATTTCATAAGCTATACGCGAAGGACACTCTCTTGTAATTTGTACGGATACCTGACTAAACCTCATTAAAACGTGAGTACAATGACGAAAATAATCAGACAAGAACTGAATCACATCAGTCTTATCACTTGTCGAATGGCCGTCCGCGTCCGCTTGAGTAACGAATGCAGGCAAGTTCAGTGACTGCGTGGAGGTATATATATATATATATATATATATATATATATATATATATATATATATATATATATATATATATATATATATATATATATATATATATTATATATATATATATATATATATAGTGTGTGTGTGGCTTTGTTTTATTTCAAGTTCGTACACCTATAGTTAATGTAAGAAACTAAAAAGAAATAATATTTAACCCGCAATTCAGTAAATCTAATTTTTCACGAGAGTCTTGTGATGTCACTCCTTTATACCAGGTATGCAGGGCATGCCGATAGATGTCGCTGAGCCGTGGGGGCTGCCGACCGACGTGCGTATTCTGCCTCAGTACCTTAAAGAGTTCGGCTACGAGACACACCTGGTTGGTAAGGTATGCGCACCCACTTTCTGAATAAACCTTGTTTTTATTGAAGTTCATGCTCAAGCATCACTTGATGACAATTACGTGATGACGACAACTTTTTTCGTTCGTCCGCGCTCATACGAAGGAAGCGCCATGGCTCTGGATTAAGGAGGGCTCATTTGCCAGCGGTATATATTGCATGTGCTCTCCGAATCATCGGTAATAACTGTTGACTGTTCAGAACGAGCGCTTAACAACTCGCACGGCATGACAAGCCCTTGAATTGGGTCCAGGGGCGTAGGCAGACATAATTTCCTGGAAGGGGGGGGGGGGGGGGGAGGACTGGATCTGAAGTAGGGGCTTACAGGCAGATGAGGTCGAGTGTCATTTTGTGCTTTGTATGCCATAGCGAAAATAATTTTCGAGGTCGGGGGACACGGACTCGATGTGCTACCTCCTGCCTACGCCACTGCTTAAGTGCTGAGGAACTGAGATTCATAGAAACTGAAGCCACCACCCACCCCTTTGATTAAATCCGTGGCTGCACCCACGACGAGACCGGACGACGAAGTCCCGCCGCGTTGTCGTGCACCCTTTGGACGGCCTGGACTTGAGTGTGAAAATACCTGCTCTTAAGGGATTTGTCCCGTTATTCCTTCGTGATGGGTGGAAAGGCCTTAAGGGTTAGACAGAGCCAGAGCATTTGATCATAATAGCATGAGTCATGATCACATTTGATGCACAAATGTGAGCGTTCTGCGCCTATCATATGAAGGGACCGATGACTGCGATACGAATGAATATGCATAAGCGTGAGTGTTCTAACATCAAGTTTGGTGAATTTTGCGTGTGGACTGAAACTGTAATTTTGCTCACAAGTCCAAACGCTTATTGTAAGTGGTACGCACACCGCCGATACATTTCGAACTGCTCCTTCATGAGAACCTAATCGATCTGTTGCTCGCACTCAATAAGGTATTTTCCCGTATTATTTTTCTTTGATCGAATTGTCTTATTTCAAAAGCTGCGTCGGAATATTTCCGCGCTTTTCATTCATGTTAGATTTTCTTGAATCTATTATGCCTCCTGGTGGTGCGAGCCACCGACATTTTATATTACTTTATTTTTTCTTATATAGAGGCACAAAAAGAACACACACACACACACACACACCACACACACACACACACACACACACACACACACACACACACACACACACACACACACACACACACACACACACGCGCGCGCACACACGCACACACACACGTAAACAGACGGACAGACGGATAGAGCAGATAGAGAGCTGAAACTCGATTCACGGAAGTGATGAGGGTTGACACTCAAAATATTTCACTAAGTTAGCAACTTCGTAAAATAAAAAAAAAGAAATTTTTCAGTCTTTATAATCTATTTGTATCGTAGCGGCACTTGAAAGCTATAGATATATTAACAAAAAAAATGTGAGCTCAACCTGCAGAAGTACTAAGCAATTCGTTAAATAACGCTGCGTCTAGTAGACGGACTTTCATCAGAATGAATTCACATTCATTCGGACGAAGGCTTTTCCAAGGTATTAGCGTTAGTTAACGATGCTGGTTTGTGTATCTGCGCATCACGGGAGGGCTAACGTGGGGTTTCCTATAACTGTCTCGAAAGGACTGCCTTGTTTTTCCATGCATGTGTGTTTCCCAACTTTCGCCTTATATGTGCAGTGGCATCTGGGCTGTTACAAGGAGAGTCTTACGCCGACGTGCCGTGGCTTCGACAGCTTCTACGGCTTCTACTACGGAGAGGGCGACTATTACTCACACACAATCAACGACGTACGTGAGCTATCAAGGGTCTTCTTTTCAACACGAGGGTGTTTTAAGCTGGTGTCCCGAAATACTTCACTGACGTATTTAAGTTACGGAAATACACCAGTGAAGTACAGAATACAAAAAAAAACCACAGTAAAGAGAGTTCATTGACTAACCTGTCGGTTTAGAAGCTCTACACACCACGCTGTCGATGCTCATGCATGCGGCTTCACAAATGCACCTTTTGTGTCCCTGCCTCCCCTACACAGTGAGCTTGTTCGGTGTCGCCGTCTGGGACTGGTGAAGTGAAGTACTTCATTATAGCAATAACAAGAATAAAAACTTTTATTCTTTACATAAAATCAAGTTTTGTATCTCAGTATACAGAAGGTACTCTCAAATCATGGCAGGTAGATTACCACTATCCCTCAAGAGGAAGGTATATAGCAGCTGCATCTTGCCGGTACTTAGCTAAGGAGCAGAAACCTGGACACTTACAAAGGGGGTTCAGCTTAAATTGAGGACGACTCGGCGAGCGATGGAAAGGAAAAAAGGGTAGGTGTAACTTTAAGCGACAAGAAGAGAGCAAGCAGTGTGGATCGGGGGACAAACGAGAATCAAAGATATCATAGTTTAAATCAAGAGAAAGAAATGGACTTGGGCCGGGCATGTAACGCTTATGCAGGGGAACCGCACGTCATCGAGGATAACTGACTGGATTTCCAGAGAAGGCAAGCGAGTTAGGGGGAGACAGAAGGTTGGGTGGGCAGATGAAATTAGGAAGTTTGCGGGTATAAAGTGGCAGCAGCAAGCACAGAATCGAGTTGACTGGCGGAACGTGGAAGAGGCCTTTGTCCTGCAGTGGACGTAGTCATGATGATGATGATGATGATGATGATGATGATGATGATAGAGAAGGAGGTTTGGATTCGGAGACTGAATTGGGACCTCATGCCAGCGATATGAAAAACGACTTCCCGTATTTTTGACACAGGCTACGAATTCTGCTTCTCGCGTTCTTGAAATGCTATGTGGCATAAACGCATGAGCACAGGCGTACGTAACCCAATTACTGGGGAGCACTCACCTGGACGTTTCTCTGCTCATACGACGACGCTTTGAATGAGTGCACGTCGAGTGCTAGTGCTACGGGCTTTCTGATGCTATTTTGCGTGGTGTTCAACGTATGCTGCATCCAAAATGAACAACTTCAGCGACCAGAAGAGTTAAATACTGATCATGGGTATTAGTTGCCGAGATGGTGGTGTGCCATCAGGCGTTAACCTCAAACGTCAAAGTTAACGTCGAACGCTGCTATAGCTGCCAAGTGCCAACAAACATCGTGTAAGATCTGATGCATCAGCGTACAATAAATAACCGTCTGTACTCCTGTGAAGACATAGTTGACATTCGTGACGGATCAACCAGGTTCTTTTCTTTGTCATCTTCGGTGCATTATATATTTTCCATACAGCAGCCGTATCGTAATCGAATCAAGGGTTACGTCATAAAAAAAAGTGCCAGCCACCCTTTCGGGAGCTGTTACTTTCGTAATATGTTCCGGGTTAGACGTTCCAGGAAAACACTTTTAAAGCTGTGCGACGCAACTTAGTGGCAAAAAAGTATATGAATGCGCTCTGAAGATGTGGCAGTGCACAAAAATTAAACAGAGAAAAATTGTGTGCAGACATTCACACAAACACCGGAAAGCCCTTGAGGTGCGTTTCCTAGTATTTTCGTTATAATAGCAAGCGATATTTACTTCCCAATGGGTCAGTCATTGATTTTAGTTCTTTTTCTCTTGTGTCGTTAAAAATAAATTTTCTTCTTCTGTATATTACGTGTACCATTTTATGTATACTTGTGGAGTAAAATCCTTCCTGAAAGGTGCTGGAACCACTCATTTAAGTGATCATCGAATGACCTAAGTACGCGAATTTACTACCTCGCCAATCGATTACTGTAAGAATTTCTCGAATCCGACAGGAAAAAGTAAAGAAATTTTAAAAATTTTAGAATCCATCAAAAATTTTGCCGAACGCTGTGAGCGTGCAACAAAATTTTTTTCTACCGTTTGTTCTCTCGCACCGACGAGCACGCTGGAAGCATTGCGACCCACGCACGGGAACAATAATTTACGTTTATATTTGTACAGTGATGATCTATCTTTCTGAAGTTGAAAGAAGTGTTGAGCTTATCTGGCTTTTCTTCACAGTTATATTGTCATAAAGTCAATTTCTATCATATCTGGGGCACTGATATTAATTTGTGTTTTTTTCCCTCATCAGGAAAATCACGTAGGTCTTGACTTCTGGTTGAACAAGGAACCCGTATGGTCTGCTAACGGGACCTACTCTACGTCGCTGTACACGAAGAGGGCACAGTACATCATTGAAAACAGGAAAAAGTCTAAGGTACATAATGCCACTGAGTTGGAGCTTTTGTGACACGTTGTACTTGCACTGGTGACATATACGCATTTAGTATGCAACGAGTATCTAGAACGCAGCCGGTTTAGTTGGTAACATGCAATAGACGACCTTACCGCATGTGCCTTTCGGGACAGCCTTCATTTATTTATTTATTATTTATTTAATTATTTATTTACATTTCCGCTACATCGCCGTAAGGCATTACGTAGGGGAGGTACACATAATAATTTGACTACATAGTTTTCCATCAAAACAATGTATACAACAAATACAACAGCACTCAAAATATTTTAAGAGAAGAAAAAAAAACATTCGAACATTGGTGAGCGAAAACAACGTCACAGTCCTGCATTTGTAAACACCCACATGCTTCGAGACAACAAACCATTATTAGTGGCAGTGATATTGTAGGCGTTTCTTACAAGGAAGAAAAAAAAAGGATTCATTATCAGTTTCATTGACGAGATCATCCCGTAGATGGTTCCTTACCTGCATTGTTTTTACGAAAAAAGAACTACCGAAAAAGTGGGTTTTATTTTGTAGCGGTATTCTAATATTTTTCGTGAATGGTCTTGACGACTAGAGACGTACGTTGGTGTGAACAGATAATCAAGAGGGTTAATGGCATTTCTATTATATAATATATACAATGAAGAAATTGAAGCCTCAGTTTCTGCCTCCTTACCATCAGTGTCTCCCATTTCAATGCTCGTTTCATTTCTGTCATGCTTGCAAAGAAATTATAGTTGTTGCTAACAAATCTGCTGCTTTGTTTTGAACTTTTTCCAGTGCGCCAATCAAGTATTGCTGATGGGGATCCCACATTACGCAAGCATAATCTAGAATAGGTCTTACATACATGAGATGGAGGGTTTGTTCCATGGTCTGTGAAGCTTGCCTAAAATTTCTGCGTATGAAGTATAGCAACCGGCCTGTCTTGGTCAAAGTTATGTCAATGTGTTTATTCCACTTGAGATTGTCGGAAAAATAGACGCCCAGATACTTATAGTAAGATTCTTTGCTAATTATTGAATTATTTATTTCGTATGTTGTGTCTAGTTTACTAATCCGGTTTGTGAATGATACACAGCAACAATGACGGACGTTTATACTCATTATCCATTTTTGGCACCACACTGATATCCGGTACAGATCATGCTGCAGAATTTCAGCATCCTTGTCCGATTTAATCACTCTAAACACTACACAATCATCTGCGAATAACTTAATCGGAGAGGTAATACCGTCAACTATGCTATTATTATGAATCAGAAAAAGCAAAGGTCCTAATAGGCTCCCCTGTGGTACACCGGACGTAACGGTTACCGCAGATGATTTTGAGCCGTGATTGATTCCTCCTCAGAAACACGTCTATCTGCGCAAGAAAAGACAGAAAGGTTGTGGCAGCCACACCTACATTTGCGACCCGCGCATGTTACTGAATAAAAAGAATTGCGAGCTTTGAGGAAATTATATTAGATAAGTCCTACTGACGTTGGTGTACACTAGGCGTAACCACGGGTGTCGGCAGCAACTCCGCGTCACCCAACGAAAGCAATACAGCAGCAGGTTTGCATCAAAAGGTGCGGCCGGGAACGCGGAGCTGCGACATATTGACACGATACGGCACAAACAGCACGAAACCATTATTTTTAATCTCGGTTTCGGGGGTTGCATATGTAAGAAGAGGAAATGCACAAACGGCCACCTCCATTTGAGATCACGCTGAAGTACCGCAGCTCGCCAAAATTATTCCTGGCAAAATAAACGGGTATTCTCATCGGGATGATATAGCACCAAAAAAAATGGTTCCTCATTCATACAAAAAACAGTTGGACAGTCAAAACCAGTATAGTATGCAAGACGTACGTGGTTCATAGTGGGGATAGACACATTTTGCAGTTTTTTCCCGGTGGTATGATTAAAACTGTATATTCAAACTTACAAGATCGTTTTAGTTTTGCTGATCTAATGTACATGTCACAGTCTGCAGGGACTTCGTGTCCGCCATGCAGGCGTCGCATCGCAGGCGTCGTGACGAGTGGATGCGTGGAAGCAAAAGGGCTTAGCTATAATTCAATGCCATCGTATTCCAAAGCATTGACGAAATTCGCAACTACGTATAGGTTCGCGTTTTGCCTCACAGACGCATACTGAGTACTTGGCAAGAGTAATTACAGTAAGCAGCCGTCTGGAAACAGCCAATGTCATGCACACAGACGTTCTTTTCCCTCACAGTGTGGTTGAAGCGCCCACCAAGAAGCGATGCATAGCAAGTCGTGAGAAAGCGACGCGATAGCGACGTGCATGCCGGATAAGGCCATGACGTATGTTTTAATAGTGCACTATTAAAACACACACTCTTAATAAAAGAAAAAGTAGCAGTACTTGCGTACTCTTGGGGTAGTTAGTAATAGATCGTCACATACGCTACAACTCTGCTAATAAGTGCAGTTAGTAACGGTAAGGGTGGCAACAGTTACTGCCTTTGCAGCTATAACAGCGTTGAGTAACTGTTACTACTCTAGGCGTAACTAACCGTAGGTCATCATCATCATCATCAGCCTGACTACGTCCACTGCAGGACAAAGGCCTCTCCCATGTTCTGCCAGTTAACCCGGTCCTGTGCTTGCTGCTGCCAATTTATACCCGCAAACTTCTTAATCTCATCTGCCCACCTAACCTTCTGTCTCCCCCTTACCCGCTTCCCTTCTCTGGGAATCCAGTCAGTTACCCTTAATGACCAGCGTTTATCCTGTCTACGCGCTACATGCCCTGCCCATGTCCATTTCTTCTTCTTGATTTCAGCTATGATATCCTTAACCCCCGTTTGTTCCCTAATCCACTCTGCTCTCTTCTTGTCTCTTAAGGTTACACCTACCATTTTTCTTTCCATTGCTCGCTGCGTCGTCCTCAATTTAAGCTGAACCCTCTTTGTAAGTCTCCAGGTTTCTGCTCCGTAGTTAAGTACCGGAAGATACAGCTGTTATATACCTTCTTCTTGAGGGATAGTGGCAAACTACCTGTCATAATTTGAGAGTGCTTGCCAAATGTGCTCCACCCCATTCTTATTCTTCTAGTTACTTCAATCTCGTGGTTCGGCTCTGCGGTTATTACCTGCCCTAAGTAGACATAGTCTTTTACAACTTCAAGTGCACTATTACCTATCTCAAAGCGCTGCTCCTTGCCGAGGTTGTTGTACATTACTTTCGTTTTCTGCAGATTAATTTTAAGACCCACCTTTCTGCTCTCCTTGTCTAACTCCGTAATCATGAGTTGCAATTCGTCCCCCGAGTTACTCAGCAATGCAATGTCATCGGCGAAGCGCAGGTTACTAAGGTATTCTCCATTGACTCTTATCCCTAACTGTTCCCATTCTAGGCTTCTGAAAACCTCCTGTAAGCACGCGGTAAATAGCATTGGGGAAATTGTGTCCCCCTGCCTTACACCCTTCTTGATTGGTATTCTGTTGCTTTCTTTATGAAGCACTATGGTAGCAGTTGATCCCATGTATATTTCTTCCAGAATGTTTATATATACTTCATCTACGCCCTGATTCCGCAGTGTTTGCATGACGGCTGATATTTCTACTGAATCAAACGCCTTCTCGTAATCTATGAAGGCTATGTATAGGGGTTGGTTATACTTTGAGCATTTCTCTATTACCTGATTGATAGTATGAATGTGGTCAATTGTTGAGTAGCCTGTTCGAAATCCTGCTTGTTCCTTTGGTTGATTGAGTTCTAATGTTTTCTTTACTCTGTTAGCAATTACCTTTGTAAATAGCTTGTATACTACAGAGAGCAAGCTGATCGGCCTGTAATTCTTCAAGTCCTTGTCATCTCCTTTCTTATGTATTAAGATGATGTTAGCGTTCTTCCAAGACTCTGGTATCTGGTACTCTTCCCGTCAGGAGACACCTCGTAAACAGGGTGGCTAGTTTTTCTAACACAATCTGTCCTCCATCTTTCAGCAGATCTGATGTTACCTGATCCTCACCAGCAGTTTTGCCCCTTTGCATGCTCTCCAAAGCTTTCCTGACTTCTTCTATCATTACTGGTGGGGTGTAATCTGGGTTACTGCTAGTCCTTATAGTATTAAGGTCGTGGTGTTCACGGCTACTGTACAGATCTCTGTAAAACTCCTCTGCTATTTTAACTATCCTATCCATATCGGTAGTTATTTTGCCTTCTTTGTCCCTTAGTGCATACATCCGACTTTTGCCTATCCCAAGTTTCCTCTTCAATGCTTTGACACTTCTTCCGTTTTTCAGAGCGTGTTCGATTCTCTCCATGTTATACCTTCTTACATCGCATACCTTACGTCTATTGATCAACTTCGAAAGCTCTGCCAGTTATATTTTGTGTGTTGTACTTGACACTTTCATGATTTGACGCTTCTTAATTAGGTTCTTCGTTCCCTGGGAAAGCTTGCCAGTGTCCTGTCTAACTACCCTGCCTCCAACTTCCACTGCACACTCTGTAATGATACTCGTCAGATTATCATTCATTGTATCTACGCTAAGGTTGGTTTCCTCACTAAGAGCCGAGTACCTGTTCTGCAGCGACACTCTGAATTCCTGTACTTTCCCTCTCAGTGCTAGCTGATTGATTGGCTTCTTGCGTATCAGTTTCTGTCGTTCCTTCTTCAAGTCTAGGCGAATTCGAGACCGTACTATTCTATGGTCACTGCATCGTACCTTGCCAATCACTTCCACATCCTGCACGATTCCAGGGTGTGCACTCATTATAAAGTCTATTTCGTTCTTATTTTCGCCATTAGGGCTCCTCCACGTCCACTTGCGGTTTTCTCGTTTTCGGTAGAAGGTATTCAAAATCCGTAAATTATTGCGTTCTGCGAATTCTACTAGTAGCTCTCCTCTGGCGTTTCTAGTACCGATGCCATAATCTCCTACTGCCTGGTCTCCAGCCTGCTTCTTCCCTACTTTTGCATTCAAGTCGCCCATTACTATAGTATACTGTGTTTTTACCTTACTCATTGCCGATTCCACGTCTTCATAGAAGCTTTCAACTGAAGCGTCATCATGGCTGGATGTAGGCGCGTAAGCCTGTACTACCTTCATCTTGTATCTTTTATTCAGTTTAATTACGATACCTACCACCCTTTCATTAATGCTATAGTATTCCTCTATGTTGCCAGCTATGTTTCTGTGAATTAGGAACCCCACTCCCAGTTCTCTTCTGTCTGCCAAGCCCCTGTAGCAAAGGACGTGCCCATTCTGTAGCCCCGTATAGGCCTCATCTGTCCTCCTAACCTCACTGAGCCCTATTATATCCCATTTAAGACCCTCTAGCTCCTCGAAAAGTACAGCTAGACTTTTCTCACTAGATAAGGTTCTAGCATTAAACGTTGCCAAGTTCAGGTTCCAATGGCGGCCTGTCCGGATCCAGAGATTCTTAGCACCCTCTGCTGCGTTGCAGATCTGACCACCGCCATGGTCAGTTGCTTCGCAGCTGCTGGGGACTGAGGGCCGTGAGTTATTTGACGTAAGCATGTGGGAGGTAGTGGCCAGATACTGCACCAGGGTGGCCAATCCTTCTCTGGTGAGGGAGTGCGTTCTCGGCGGTGTTTGCCGGTGAGGCTGCACCCCAGGCCTCTTAATGCAGTTCCATCAACACGCGGATTTTTTTTTTTTAAATCCGGTTGGGAACTGCGCGGTACCGGGATTTGAACCACGGACCTCTTGCATGCGAGGCGGATGCTCTAACCACTACGCCATCGCCGCAGCTTAACCGTAGGTAGTGACTTATAAACTATTTTCTGTAAGACGTCTTGGCGCCGCCATCTTGGGTGGTAAACGCATATTTTGTTGTTTTTGGATATGGTGACGTAAATTTACTCGTCCATGAAACATTTCATGCGCATTCGTCTACGGTAACACTGTTCGTCACAAATGCAAAAAAAAACAATGGTTAACAGCCCAGGATGGTGGCACTGGAACACGTTCCTAAAGTAAGTCAATAAAGGTTTTAATAATAAAGTAGTAGCCGATACTGCCGTGTCAATTTCGCCACATAATTTCTTCACTGTTAATACTGGTAAAGTTATTGTCTGATTACTTCACAGCTTCGGGTAATCTAGCGTGGTGTGTCAAGAATTCGAAGAATACATAAACGTAACAAGTTCACAACGCAATCAGTACTAAATTAGTGATTCTCGGAGTATTTATGTAGCCCCTATAAACTTTAAAGACGCATGACTGGTAAATCTGAGCACCCGTGTTCCAGAATAAATTAAAGAACCTAGAGCACTATACCCTACGACCTGATTACGTGTGTTAGGGGACGTAGCAGAAATTCTAACCAGCTGTATTTAAAATCATACGTAACATCCATTCGTTATAAAAGTGCCACAAAAAAGCACTGTGTACAGCAGCTTAAACATGGTACCGAACTCACCAACATAGTCTCAGCGATTCAAATGGCTCCCTGTGCTAATACATCGGCAATTAAACGGTAATAGACGTTTCTGGGGTTCTACGTGCCAAAACCACGATATTAATATGAGACACGCCGTAGTGAGAGCCTCCGGATTAATTTTTGTCAGCTAGTTATTTACGATCTGTCTGCCATGTTAGTTTGTAGTAATTTACTATATACTAAGTTCACTTTAATTGTCGACTAAAACGTGTGCAGCACTTGCTTATGGTTAATTTACTTGTACTCTGTTTAGACGATAGCAGAATGATTGAAGCTTAAATATTTCGGTTGCGTAATTTAAAAACAAAGTTTTTTTTTATCCATGAATATCTCCTGTGACAATTTTATGAATAACGATGATGTGTCGAAGCGATTTCACCTATAAACTGATATAGTAGGTATTACCCACCGATTCCAGTAAGACAGGCAACGGCCGGGTAGCAAAAAGGTAATAACCAGGCAAAAAAGAAGTATTGGCTGCAGTTACTACCTATTTGAATCTAGTTACTAACTCTGTACTAACGCACGCAGTAAACAGGTAACAAAACAGTTAGTAACGGTAGCAACTAGTAACTGTTTACGAACGTAGGTAGTAAAAAGGTTGCAAAAGGTTAGTAATGGTCCAAGAAAGGTAGTAAGCGTTGCAGTTGATATCTCTTAATTCACTTTTCTTTGTTTCTTCTTAGGTGTTGCTGCATTGTGAACGTGTTTTGTGGTAACGTATCCCTCGTCTAACACAGACTTCCACTCTTAAAGCTTCTGCGTATACACACGCTTCGGATTTAAGTCGCCAAAAAGAGAGGTGTCCGCTGTACAGCACATTTATTAAAATAGAACTGTACCAATGTTTTAAAATTATGGTTCGGTAGCCCTATAGGAGAGCTCGACCAGCTCCGCACTTTAGCAGCGCGTGCATTTTGTCATTCTTCACAGCCACTGTTGCTTGTTGTAAGCCACCAGGCTGCTCACGCCGCACTAGAGATGCAACTCCTGCAGGCGCCGCAAGAAAACATCGCCAAGTTTCCCTACATAGGAGAGAAGAACAGAACGATTTACGCAGGTGAGAGAGAATTTTTCGAATTGTGGGTAACCTTCTTTCGCGTGTTTTTTATATCGTTGTTCAGCTGTTTTGGGATAAGCGCAAAGAAGACTCAAGCGCTTCGATCATATGTCATTCAGCGTTTCATTTTACGAAAGAAGTCGCATTGAAGTCTCTATATTCGCCGTCCGGAGGTGGCCTATTGTTCACAGCGAAAACAAAAATTATACAGCCTTTCTGTACAGGTAACCTTACTACGTCGGATGTAGTATTGTTGGCCGCCTCGGTGGTGTAGCGGTTACAGTGGTCGGCTGCTGACCTGAAGGTTTCGGGTTAAATCCCGGCTGTAGTGGTCGAATTTTGACGTAGGCGAAATACTGGGGGCCCGTGTAGCCGTCCGCTACGGCCTTCCTCGTAATAATATCGTGGTTTCGGGATGGTAGAACCTACATATCGGTATTAAGATTACTGAGTACTGCACTTTACAAGCCGAGATGCACATTTCAAGCCAAGCAGTGCTTAACGCTTGCTTCAACAGACGAAGAAGACGGTTTTATTAATACTTTTACTCGGTGCCATATTTATACTCATCGCTCTAGCTGCAGGAACCATTAGGTCACTCACGTGTGAAATTGATGAATGTACATTTCAAATGAAATACAGAAAACGAGCCTCGAACGAAAATTTTATTAGTTTGGCCACATAACTTATAGCACCAGAAATAGGTGGTCTAGTGGCCAAGGCACTCGGCTGCTGACCCGCAGGTCGCGGTATCGAATCCCGGCTGCGGCGCCGGGTGATTTTCGATGAAGGCGGACATGCTTAAGGCCCATTTCATTTAGGTGTACGTTAATGAACCTCAGTGAGTCAAAATTTCAGGAGCCCTCCATTACGGCGTCTCTCATAATAATATGGTAGTTCTGGGACGTTAAATCCCAACACTCATTATTATAGCACCAAAAATACTTTGTCGATTCGTACCCGAGTTGTTGCAACTCATTGTTTGTGACACGCGTGTAAATATCCTCTTGTAAATGTATACGTGCAATATTACAACTAGATTCACGAGAAATGTTACGACCGTGGAATTCAGGATGGAAATGAAAGTCGTTCCGCTTGTGAATGGGGACAAATAGCGAAGCTGTTTTGTACTCGACGCAGAAGTGAGGCGGATTTTAGCCAATCACGCGCCCACTAACCAAGTCAGATATGTCTACCCAGATGGTCTCGCTTGAATTTAGCACATGTCACTTGATCAAGTTTATTACTTGAGCGGTATGCGTTTCTGCTGCAGTGTTTTTTTTTCGACTCGTGTTTTCCCTTTATTTTCAGCAACATGTAACACGTTGCTTTGTATTAATGTTGTCAGTACTCTTATTGTAGTATATAGGCCGCTATGTAGGTCACTAAGATATTCTTTTCTCTGTGTGCGCAAAAACCATGAGCGCCGACATGTGCCGCAGAAATTCGGAAAAGCCCACTTGTGGTCTCCTAACAACGAAGAAGGGAACGCGCGGACGCCTTAGTGCCTAAGCCACCACCGTGCGGGTAGTGGACCAGCGGAGAGTAGTGAAATTCACTTTCTATGGCACATGCCGTTCATTATAATGATATATTTGTGTAAACATTTTCGCACACCAAAGTAAAAACCTTGGTGTACGCCGGCGGGCGTCGCTGTTAAATATTAGGGCAGTTTATCACTTATAGCGGTGCTACAAGACAGAAGAGACAGCCGACCTGGGCAGCCTTTCTCTTGCTTGGATCGATGGATGGATGGATGTATCCGGCTGTGCCCTTTAGATCGGGTGGTGGCTCACGCCACCTAGCCATAAAGTTAAGTACTATTACTGATTGATTGGCAAGCAAGAACCACCATACGGCGAACGTAGACTTGAGTTCTTTCGTCATGTTATTTTTCTTTCATCCTGCTTTCTGTGGTCCCATCTTTATTTACTCCCCTTACCCTTGTAGTACGTCTCCTCATCCCCCGCTTCCCTCCCCTCCTATGCTGCATTATGAATGACAATGCAGTGATATTGTAACGTGATTGTAACGGTTTAAAAGGCCGCGGCAAAATGCGGAAGTACGGAGCTCTCTATTTGGGCAAACTTGCGCCCGCGAAATGAAAACTCAAAATGTAAGGGAACGGCCGTCGGCCGTCGAGTGCGATCAGCAGTCGATCAGCAGAGTGCGATCAGCAGAGTGCGATCAGCAGAGTGCGATCGCACTCTGCGTCGAGTGCGATCAGCAGAGTGCGATCAGCAGTCATTTTATACCAGTGCTTTCTGCGTTCATGGCCGGTTTTGGTCTACCAAACAAACTCCACTGTTCGCGTAGCACGCTCAAGCTTATCGGAAGATTCTGAAGTAATCTGGAAGGTTCTAAGACATTCGGTCGTGGTTTGCGCAACAATGGGGGTTATACGCCTAACAGATATTTTTCACGAAGAAACAAATATAAGCGCGCGCAATATTATAGGTTGCTTAACACTAATTCACGCATCCACCCACTCTCTCACATATCCTCACTCTTACGTTCGTTTCTTACAATACCTTCAAAAACGTATCAGCAGGGTTATACTGTATGCGAATTCAAACCGCCCGTGAGAAAAAAAAATACGGGCAAGAATGTTTGCTAATTCGGCTTCAGTATGCCGGTCAACGGTTCCCTTTACGGATCGCAGGAATGGTGGACGCGTTGGATCAGTCCGTCGGCCAGGTGGTCAAAGCCTTAAGCGACGCGGGAATGCTGGAGAACACCGTAATAGCCTTCAGCAGCGACAACGGTGGTGCCCCTTGGGGCAAGCACAATTCCCGCGGTTTCAACTGGCCGTTGCGGGGAGCGAAAGGAACTGTCTGGGAAGGTGGGACCAGGGCGGCCGCTTTCGTCTGGAGTCCGCTGCTCGGCCGAAGGCGCAGGGTGTCTAACGAACTTATGCACATCACGGACTGGTTGCCCACGTTCTACTCGCTAGCAGGTTGGTGCGATGCTTCCGTCTTGTTTATATAGCATATCTGTTATGGTCCAAGTTGGTCGTGTGTAATACATAGAAAGTTATCATCTACATTAACCGCTACAATCTATTTATACTTCTCGTCTTTATTGCCTCCGCCTTTCGCTTCTGCTTCGCTCATAGAAAAACACAGAACAAAATAAAAATAAAAGTATAGAGAGAAAACATAGCCATGATTATTAGTACAGTATAGCAAGAGAGATAAAGAAGCGAGAGGGTAAAAGCCTAGCCAAGCCAGTGCGCTTTCAATCTCTGCTGTGACACAGCCTATGGTGACTTAGTGCAAGGTTAACTTAAAAAAAAAATAGTGGGATCGTAGCTGAACAGCGAACAATGGTGCTTGGGTCTGTAGTGTACGAGGAATCTTCTGTCGCTGAACGATTTCCAGTTAAAGCGAGGGCTCTCCTTTATCTCTCGAGTGTTTGGTCGATGCTTGAGTTTGCCCGTACAGTTTGGGATACCTGGCCACAAACGAACGTAGATATGTAATTTAGAAAAAAATACAGAATAGAGCAGTGCGGGTTGTGTTTCGAAATTATTCATAGCAATTCGGTGTATCTGAGGCGAAAAAAAAATAATTAGATGTGACAGCCTGCAAGAAAAGACGCTTTATTCAGAAAGTGAAGCTGTTCCACGATACCATACCACACACGAGCAGCGATTGATCACATGAAATATATGCATAGCCCTGATTAGGTGTCAGCGAGAGTCGATCACGATCTAAAGGTGAAATAATTAAGTAGCCTGCAAAAGCGGCGCGTACGAGAATTCCTTTTTCCCCAGTGCAATTAGAGCCGGGAGTCGCGGTTACCCACTGACGTTGTTAAAATAAGTTCAAACGCCGTGACAGCGCAGGCGCTCCATGATATTGTATAGGTATGACCATGTTGTGATCTATTACTATGGTTATGATTATGTTGCGGTGTTTTCTTCATGTAACGTGTAACTTGTATTATGTTATATATGTAATTCCCCCTCCTCCTGTAATGATTATGAAGACACTGTGGGTATTCGATAAATAAATAAATAAATAAATAAATAAATAAATAAATAAATAAATAATAAATAAATCGGCTTATACTTGACGAATTCTAAAGAAACGCCAGGCCAGCGCGGTAGGCGCAGCACAGTCACAGCGAAAGCTAGAAGAGTGGCCTTCTAGAGCCATTTCTACTGCTGCAAGCACACTTGCTTAATGCCCATTTCAGCATTAATAATAAAAATTGTAGGGTAGTAGGCTGGCATTAGTTATGCTATTTTTCGTCATTATTCTGAGAAGCGTGGTATCCGCTAAACTATTGCGAGGAATTTTGTGCCAATGGTTCATGCAGTGGCTGACGACGATGTGGAATTACGCCTGAAGTGGGTATGCGCCACAGTTAATAGCTGACAAAAAACAAGCTTTTGTAATGGGTTGGAGCAATGGACGACCCACTCGTCGCGCTATGCGCATTGTGCTACGAGTGCTTTCCTTCCTGTTTTAAAACGCTTTGTAAGTCGTATTAACGCGATTGCTTTCCCGACATCAAGCTTGCCTAAGGCAAGTTTGCCAAGAAGTCACAAGTACCGGTGTAGCGTTTTTCATGTTCTCAGTTTCGAAGGATTTATCGGCCATGGGCCGAGGTGCTGCTCAGGCTTCAGCCAGCGGCAATGACTACCGTGTTGTACTTCCTCGCCTTCCCGCCGGCAAGCTTGTTGTGGACTCTTTCTACATGCGGACTTAGCTGGTTGCCCCTACCAGGTTCAAGATTTTAGAGATGCTCTTCGGGACATCATTGACTTGAAGGAAATAAGCTCCATAGGTCAATTTCAAATGTCTCATGTTTGGATGGTCACATGCAAGTCAATGTCTGCATGTCAATGTCTGCATGCAAGTCAACTGTCGACGCTTCGGTCATTCGGCCAAAGATTGTGTTATGACATACGCCAACAAGATGCGACAGCACACCAAACAGCCAGATGATAACCTACAAGAGCATATTATGGATGCCACCGAGGTTTTGGACGCAACGGGAGACACTCCATCAATGTTATATGCTGCGGGCTCTACCACAAGGAATCCAGAAGAGGAAAGAAAGTCACTCGCTGTTGACACAGTTGAAACTGCTGCGTGCAAAGAGCCAAGTGAATCATGCAAGCAGCATACCCAAAATTACTCCGCACAACCCCTAGCACAAGTAGGAGTTCTTATGAAGAGTGCTGTTGCGCCGACCCATAAAGATACCGAAGAACCACCAGTACAAGATAGAGACTCTGGGCTGGATGCCGCAGAAAGTTCATCACCTGCTTGCGCTGCAGCTCCGCAGCAGCTTTTTCATCATGGCGCAGTGTCGGAAGATGCATCCGTAGAGAAGATCTCTACGGATGCAGCAATACTGAAATGTCGCGCATCGTCCAGCTCGGATTCAAGCAAAGGGAGTGACCCAGCGTCAGTGACTAGGGAGTCACGCCGTCGCCGAAAGTCCATGCCAAAGGGGAAGTGTCGCCGATCCCGATCTAGGAGGCCTGGTGGGGGTTCACGGGAAGCCTCAGCGCCAACTCTTGGGACTGATCAAGTGGGACGACAAGCGGATTGGAAGGTAGTCACCATGGCGCAGTCTGAGCGACTCATATTTGCCATCTTGAACGTACGCGGCCTTAGGTCTTCGCAGAAACAAGCACAGCTCCGTAGACTTCTCAATCGGAAACGTCTCGACTTTGTCGCCCTCCAAGAGACAAAGATTGAGAGCGAGGAAGAGACCGAGAAGGCCCTGCGGCCTTTTTTGTCTCAGTTTTATGTGTGTGTCTCACATGCTAAAGGTTTATCTGCGGCCTGTTGGTTGTTTCTGAGAAAAAGCCTACCCTGTTCAGCATTCTGCACTAGTGTTGATGAAGAGGGCAGGTATATATGCTGTGATTTTTTGTTGCAAGGAGTGCCATGGAGAATTATCAATCTATACGCGTTTAATGATGTTCCGAAACGACTTGAGTTATTTGAAAAAGTGCGTAATTTAATTGACGTCGACAGATGCACGGTACTTACGGGAGATTTCAACTGCGTATGTGGAGCTATTGATCGTTTTAATTCGTCTGGAAAGAGAGACAGGAGTGGTGAGCTTTTATCCGGTATTGTAGATAATGCAGGACTAATTGACATCGGGGTCTCGAATCGGGCAACAGCATATACAAGAGTACAAGGCAGTTCTCATGCTCGCTTTGACCGGATTTACGTGTTCTCATCACTCCTATCTCGTAAAATTTCCTGCAGCACCGAAGCTGTATCATTCTCAGACCATTGTATAGTCATAGCGCAAATTGGTTAAAATCATTACAAGCAATTCCGTCCCCAGTGGGCCCTTTGGAAAATGAATGCGAAGCTCCTCTGTGATCAGGAATTCATGAATCGCGTTCAGATGGCATTGAGGCAATCTTTTTCGATTGGTTTTCATATCTTCGCTGCTTGGGAGCTTCTTGAACAAGAAGTTTGTGCTATAGCTTTAGAAATTGGGGCTGTTAAGTCTTTCTATAGAAAGAATGATGAAAAGATACTTGTTAAAAGTCTTTGCAATCTTTATGAGATGGAATGCGAAATGCCGGGAAAGTACATCAAAGACATTGAGAATATTAAGTGCCAACTACAGAGATATGATGCTGCTCGCTACCAAGGGGCACGTATTAGGTCTCGGAACCAGCGCACTTTAAATTCTTAGCAACCGACGCGCCAAGCTTTACTTGATGAGCAACGCCATGCGATTTCTAAAGTTATTCCAGACTTGTACTTTAACGATGTGCTCATAAAAGATAACGGAGACATTACTTTGGCGTTCGAAACGTACTATAACAGCTTATTTAGCTCTCCCCCTGATGATCTTGACGCTCACCTCAAGGCTAGTTTTGTTTCTCTTGTGAACCCCTTGAAGGACAATGATTGTGCAGTCATTAATGGGCCTATTATTATACAGGAAATCGAGCAAGCAATCGACAACTTGCCTTTATTGAAAACACCAGGCCCTGATGGCATCTCAGGCGAATTTCACAAAGCTTTCAAGAAAACACTTGCTCTTATATTGCTGAATATTTTTCAGATGAGTTATGACATGGATACACTCCCACAATCTTTTTGCAAAAGTCACACTGTGTTAATACCGAAAACAACTGACAAGGAAAAACTTCGCTTCGTCGAGGGCTGCAGAACAATATCGCTGTCAAACGTGGACTACAAAATTTTCGCAAAAGTATTAGCAAATAGGTTGCAATTTGCTATGTTGATCCTCATTGGGTCTCATCAGACATGTGAGATCAGATGTCGATCCATACAAACCAATATACATGTGGCTCGAACAGTGCTTCAATACTGTCATGGTTCTCAAAAACATCTTGCAATGCTACAGGTAGACCATGCAAAAGCTTTTGATCATGTTCGTCATTCCTTCCTTTTTTCTCTTCTCGAACAAGCTAATGTTGGCAAAGTTGTTCTTAAAGGCGTTAAATTATGCTATAATGAATGCTCAACTCGTCTGATAGTTAATGGTCAACTCTCCGAGCCAGTTTCTATTCGCTCTTCTGTGAAACAGGGATGCCCGATGTCACCTCTTTTATTTGCAATTTTTCTAGAACCACTGTGCTTAAGCATAATACAGTCGAGTTGCATTCGTGGCTTTAGATTACTAGGCAGTGAGGTTAAAGTATTGGCTTATGCAGACGATGTCGCATTCTTTTGCACAGATAAACCAAGTGTCGAAAATGTGGTATATACTATTGAAAAGTTTGGCGTAGTATCAGGAGCTCGTTTGAATGCCTCTAAAAGTTTAGGACTGTGGTTTGGCTTGTGGGGTAGCACACCGAAACACTTTGCAGGGATTAATCGGACAAGAACTCCTCCAACATACCTCGGTGTACCATTGCATGCATATAGATTCAGTGCGCATTACTGGAAGGAACGCGTCCCTAAGCTTGAACGACAGGCCCAGACATTTGTTCCCTATCGACTTTCGATATTTGGGAGAGCTGAAGCTTGCAATACTTTCTTAGCGACAAAGCTTTACTATCTATTGCAACTTATTCATTGCGCAAGATTCTATATACAACGCTTTCATCGGATTTTCGCTACTTTCATATGGTCTTCGACTTTTGAGCCCATGCGTCCTGACAATATATTCAAGCCAGTTAGTGAGGGTGGGTTAGGACTAAAACACCTTTATCTATGGCAAATAATGTCCCGATTCTTCTTTTTTCGAGACAATTCCCATCCTGTAATCTGTTCCTTCTTGCAGGTTGCACTTGTTGATTCGTTACCAGATTTAATTGTTTCATCCAACTTCTCCGAACGCCCTTGCTTGTGGGGATTCATGCAGGAAGTTTACCTCGCAGTTCAGTTCCTTAAAGCTCGCTTTTCTGTAGAATACCTGTACACAGTATCGCGCAAGGTGCTGCATAAAGACCTACTGAGTACACTCTTCCCACCTCCATTGTACTGTTCACTGTACTCCAATCTTCCAGGTCACGATGTGTTGAAGCGAGTGCGCAAAATGTACATTCCAACGAATTCAAAAGCATTCTTCTATAAACTCCACTCTGAAACATTGGCGGTAAACACATGGTTAGAAAGAAAAGGTATCTTCATTGCGTCTGTTAGCTGCCGTCTATGTGATGTGCCGGAAATGATTGAACATTGCTTTGTTAGCTGCAAAGATGCCATACTATTTTGGGATGTCTTTCAGTGAGCAGTGAAAAAACGTTTCGTCATTAATTTTCACACAATACGTTATCTTCTACCAGCAACGCTTGATGAAGTACCATATGATATGTTTTTCTTCATGGGTTTGCACAGCTTGTGGAAGACACGAATGCAAGACCGAAATGCAGAGCCCACCACCTCTTCAAGCTCACACTTCATTCAAATGGCTATCCACCTAAAAAACATTTACGACGAGCTAGAGTTTAGACCGGACTGGTACTCCGTCTTAAAGAACTGTTTGACCTCACCCCTTTTTTGTTTGTATAACACGATGTGAAGAACTCTCCATGTGAGGAACTCGCGCTGTGTTAGCCATTTAGTGTTTATGAGTAACGCTTGAACGTTTACTTTCGCGATTTGATTGTACTTTTGTTCGCTTGATTTTGTCTTTATTGCCCAAGTACTTTAATAAATACCATGAAAAAAAATACCGGTGTAGCTCAGTGGTAGAATTCTGGGCGGGCACCTGGTGGACCCGGGTTCGAGCCCCACTGTTTCATGATTAGTACTAGGTTTTTTTTGCTAATTCTGTGCGATGTCGTTACAAACACCGCTGCGCGAGACCCGAGTTGTAACCTCTTGATAGCTTTCGCTGTAAAATTCTTGCGACAGTCGCAGTCAATTCATGCGATAAGAAAACATCGTCAGAGCTCGAGAAAACATCTGGATTTTTGAAGTTGCCAGTGCCACCACCACCACCAGTGGTTCAGAGATATCTTGGTATTTTTTAGAGACTGGATATTCAATGCAACTACCATTTCTTAAGTATTTCCCCCCTCAAACATAGTGCTGATTTTGACGGTGGCACTCGTGGTGTTGAGCGATTACATAACTTCCGTATTCACTTTAGCGGGGAAGTGTTCGTCATTCCATCAACCGCTTTCTTTTTTCAGGAGGTAACGCTGCGAAGATGGTGGGATTGGATGGGCACAACATGTGGCGGCATTTGTCCCATGGTCTGCCTTCGCCTCGCGTCGAGTTACTTTACAACTACGACTACAAGTACACCAAATCAGCGGCGCTGCGGCACTCTCGGTACAAATTGTTGCTAGACGGCACCGGCACGTTCTCTGATCGCTACAGCGTACCGGGAGGAAGCCGTCCGCGCAACGACCTCGACTCCTTGGTCGCCCAGTCGACGGTGGCCGGCGTTCTCAAGGAGTTTTACAAAACGCACGACCTGAATTTTCCCAAGAGTTGGAGACGAAAGGCAACGCTTACATGTGGCAAGCAAGGAACGATAAACTTTTCGTCTTCTACATCGATCTACCTGTTCGATCTGGTTGCCGACCCCTGTGAGATGAACAACTTGGCCAGCAAGCTTCCAAGTGTAAGCGGTTCTTATTACTATACGTTCATCTGTTAACAAACGCAAAGTGGTAAAGTAAGTTCAGCATTCACAGACAGTAGAATGTATGTATGTATGTATGTATGTATGTATGTATGTATGTATGTATGTATGTATGTATGTATGTATGTATGTATGTATGTATGTATGTATGTATGTATGTATGTATGTATGTATGTATGTATGTATGTATGTATGTATGTATGTATGTATGTATGTATGTATGTATGTATGTATGTATGTATGTATGTATGTATGTATGTATGTATGTATGTATGTATGTATGTATGTATGTATGTATGTATGTATGTATGTATGTATGTATGTATGTATGTATGTATGTATGTATGTATGTATGTATGTATGTATGTATGTATGTATGTATGTATGTATGTATGTATGTATGTATGTATGTATGTATGTATGTATGTATGTATGTATGTATGTATACTCTGTCGCACACAATGAAAATGCATAGCAAACATCAAGGTGCTCGGCAAAATTTCTATATGCTTGGAATATGAGTAATGAGTGTATAGTCAGGTTACTTAGTGACGTATTAGGTCCGAATTGCGCGTTGCAGAACTCGAAGCTTTGCACGCGTACAACGCCTGAATAATGGCTCACTGTAAATTTGCATGAGGCTGGTCACTTCGAAGGAACTTCGTAAAACAAACAAACAAACAAACAAACAAACAAACAAACAAACAAACAAACAAACAAACAAACAAACAAACAAACAAACAAACAAACAAACAAACAAAATAATACAGTTGGTGGTGGTAGAAACATTTTATTACAGAAAATGTACCAGAGAGTTGCAGCACATTGCATGAGTGAGTGGCAAGACCCTATTCCGGGATGCCAATGGAGTTGGCCGCTGCTGGAGCGCGCCTCACCAAGGAGCGTTGAGCATCCAAGGTCGAGCAGCCGAGAAGGTACTCCTCCCAAGCCTCTCTAGTTGGGATGAGGAAAAAGGGTGAAAAATAAAGGAGGTTAGTAGGGAACGAAGCGACGATGTGGTAGGTGTCTGCCAGGACCTGGCAGGTCGAGCAGGTGCCACTGATTTCCGGCAAAAGATGCCTGGCGACCACCGGACTGAGATAGGTGTTTGTCTGGAGGCGGCGTAGTATTCGCTCGTCCGCTTTCTCCAGACAACTGGCCGGGTTCGGGTACAGGTGGCGCGAAGCCAGGTAATAGGCAAGAATTTCGCTAAATTGCGTTATATTCGTATTGCCAGACTCCGACTCGGGACATGGAGGGGCAACGGCCCGGATGCCATGGAGGAGCAGCGGCGTTCGCCGCCTCGTTGCCGGGCAGGCCCGAATGACCCGGGGTCCATACTATACGAATGGGGTGAGGGTTAAAGCGCCAAGAGGCTGCCCGATGTAGGTGAGCTGCCAGCGGGGCGATGGTACCCTGAAGGTATTGGGAACAGGCTGAGCGCGAGTCCGTCAGGATGATTCGTGAGGTGGGATGCGAGGCGGCCAAAGCAATGGCAACCTCCTCAGCTTGCGTCATAATGTTGGCGCTAAAGGAGAGGCCATCAACGTGTTTTCTCTCTGTGATCACGGCGGCCGTGAAGTGACCTGCGGGGGACGGGCCCAAGACGTTAACGTTGAAAACGCCAGGGCGGTCGGAGTGTCGGGCCTGAAGGGCCGCGGAGCGTGCTAGTCTATGGCCGGGATGTAGCTCTGGGTTCATGTTGCGGGGGAGTGGTTCTACTCATAGTTTTTGCCACTAAAGCTCCGGTATGGGCGTCGGAGTGTCTTCATCAGAGATCGCATTGAGGCCGAGCCTGTGTAGTAGACGTCACTCTGAGGGAGTCTGCGACAGACGATTAATTTGGCTAACACAATGGCTTCCCGCAGCTCTGCAAAAGAATTATGTACTCCTAGTGCCGCGAATCGGCTGTTGGAGGTAGCAATGGGAAAGTCGAGTGCGCGTTTGTGTACTGGACGAAGGAGGACGTCCAGCTGGTGCTCGTGGTGACGACGTAGGCGAAGGTAAAGTGAGGCGTACAAGACGCGACTGGTCACAAACGTATGGGCCAACCGCATGGACTGGGTCCCACGGAGGTAGCCGTGATTGGTAGATACCCGCCGTATCATACAGCTCACCTGTTCACTGGTGCGTCGGAGGCTCGCTATTGTGTCCTTGGGATCCAAAGATGAAGTGATGTGGAGCCAAAGAACTCGAACTTTCTCGACTGATGAAACGGGACCAGACGGAAGAAAACCTGGGGTGGAGGTAAGTCGGATACCGAGAGAATAGGCGATTTAGCTGGAGAGCACTCTAGGGCACACGAAGCAGCGTAGGCGTTCACCAGAAAGGAAGCCTTTTGTAGGCGCTCTACGATTTGTGCTGGGGAGCCGGTGTTGGTCCAAATTGTAGTATCATCGGCATAGAGTGCGTGATGTATTCCCTCGACCTCACGCAGAAGGGAGGGGAGGTTCTTCTTGTCCAGGTTAAAGAGTAGGGGTGACAGGACTGCACCTTGGGGTGTACCCCGTGTGACTAATAGGTACTGGCCATGTTCGATAGAATCGAGGTGCATGAAAGCGGCGCGATGAGAGAGAAAGGCTCGAATGTAATTGAAAGTCTTCTAGCCACAGTTTGTGGTAGAGAGGCCAGAAAGAATACTACTGTGTTTGACGTTATCAAAAGCTCCTCTAAGATCAAGTGCGAGCTCGGCTTTATTGTTACAGCGCATAGTGGTCGGTTCTACGATGTCTTGGTGAAGCTGGAACAGGATGCCCTGTGCCGACAGATGTGAGCGAAAGCCAAACATCGTGTCAGTAAAGGTCTCCCTGGCCTCCAGGTAGACAGAAAGGCGTTCGCGGACCATATTTTCTATGAGCTTTCCGGCGCAGAAAGTTAGTGAGATTGGTCTCAGTGCCTCGATACTAGGTTTGCCCGATTTGGGTATGATTGTGACGAGTGATGTCGTCCATTCCGATGAGAACGGGGAGCTATATCATATCAAGTTTCTCAGGTGGAGTAGCGAGTGGTGTGCCTCGTCGGGAAGGTTAACCACAAGCGACACTGTGATGCCATCCCGCATAGGGGCCGTGCCTCGTCGCGTTTTCGCCAGTGCAGCCCATAAATCTGAAAGCGCGTATGGCGCATCGAGCTCGGCGTTAGGGGTGCCGGAACACGTATATTCTGGGCCTATGGGGTCAGTTGTACGACAGATGTATCGGTCGCACAATTTTCGCGCGAGTTCATCTGTAGTGCCCTGATAGGCATGCAGAGCACGGTAAAGCTGGCGTTGCGTTTCTGCCTGAGTGCTGGAGGGATCCAGAAGGCTACGAATTAGCCACCAGGTGCCCTTTGGGCTCATCTCGTTCGCAGCCTTCATGCAGGTGTCAGCCCAATTTGAATCGGCAAGCTCCGCACAGTATGCGGTAGCCTCTGCAGTGAGCGCCTCAATGCGAGCGTAAAGTTTTCGATTGAGTTTGTTACGTTTCCAGCGCTTTATAAGCCCGCGGCGAGCGTTCCAGATATGTAAGAGGTGTGGGTTGATTGCAGGAGTCAAATTAGCGGTTTTAATCAATTTAGTGAATTAGTCAATTTAGAGGTGCGAGTGTTTGCCCGCTGCTTATGAAGGACGCTGGACGCCCACGTTGCGTGTTTGCCCGAGCTGGGGATTATAGGAAATGACTGCATTCTAAATCTAGTCCAGTCAGTGAGACGGGCCAGGCCCCAGTAATGGCACTATTTCTGCCGCGGTGTGAAGTAAATGCGAAGCAAAAAGTGGTCACTTCCCAAAGTCTCGCCCAAGTTTTCCCAAGTAGCATGGCGAATGTTATGAGCCAGGGAGAGGTCAGGGCATGTGTCACATGCGACCGAATTGCCGGAACGCGTGGGCTGTGCCGGATCGGTAAGCAGCGTGAGGCTAAGCGAAGAGATGGGCTCCTTGAGTTCTCTTCCCCGGGCCTTCTCATAGTGGTAACCCCAGTGAGTGCTGGGGGGTTGAAGTCCCCGAAAATCACCAGAAGTTGATGGTCTGCCGTGTGCAGCGCCCTATGAAACAGATTCGTAAAGGAGGCCCTCGCAAGACGAGGGGGGCAATACACGTTTATTAGGTGAAATAATGGTTGGCCTCTCCGTTGATACATCACTGAAATCATACAATAGTCGTATGGGAGATCCAGATCGAGATCGACCTGTATCGCCGTGTACGCCTTAAGCACAAGAGGGCATGCAGTGGTGCTTCTCACATAGGAGCAGTATTCAGAAAGAGTTGGTGTCGCGCCAGATTCTTGAAGTGCCAACACGGCCGGCTGAGAGCCAAGTGAGTGGAGGAAGAAGGAAAGGCTTTCACCTGTTCTCAAACCCTCTAGAGTTCCACTGTATGATCTCGAATGTCGATCACAAACTCGAAAGAGATTTACGGTCTGTAGCCGTCATGAATATCCTAGGTTTTATACTTCACCCACCATGTCTTTCTCAGAGCCTTCAGAGGCAGGGAGGGGTACGGAGGCCATATTGTATGACGGCGAGTTGGGGGTAGCCACCTTGCGACGACGTCGGGGAGCTGAACGTGTACGTACTGTAAACCGAAGAGGAGCGCGAATGCGATTCTTTGGGTTGAAACTGAGTGATTGCCCAGGCTTGAATGGTCTGAGTGACCTCTACTACTATGCGTTGGACGGAGAAGTTATAAGTGAGGTGACTGGTCGACGATTCGACGCGCGTAAGGCAATCCTCCATGCGAGTGGCGCGTTCTTCACTGGGATGAATAGGGTTAGTCGGCAAGGGATCTTGAGGTGCTGCAGTAGCTATCGGAGCTTCCGGAGTAGGTGCGTCGGCTAATGGAGCCGGAGGGTTATTCGGAGTGCGCGTAGCGTGAGAGCTAGGCTTGGAGGTTGCCGGCGTAGCCGCCTGGACAGGGGCGGCGGTACCGAGGGGCTTTGCAGAACCTTGTTGTTGGGGAGCAAGTTGCTTAGTTAAGAGTGCGAGCTGCTTTGTTAGGAATTCATTTTGCTTTTGAAGATGCACAACCTGCTGGCGAATGGTCACAAGTTCGGGTAAAGGAGGATAGTCAGGTTACTTAGTGACGTATTAGGTCCGAACTGCGCGTTGCAGAACGCGAAGATTTGCATGCGTACAAAGTCTGGATAATGACTCACTGTCAATTTGCATGAGGCTGGTCACTTCGAAGACACTTAGTAAAACAAACAAACAAACAAACAAACAAACAAACAAACAAACAAACAAACAAACAAACAAACAAACAAACAAACAAACAAACAAGCAAACAAACAAGCAAACAAGCAAACAAACAAGCAAACAAGCAAACAAGCAAACAAGCAAACAAGCAAACAAGCAAACAAGCAAACAAGCAAACAAGCAAACAAGCAAACAAGCAAACAAGCAAACAAACAAACAAATACAGGAAAGAGCGCAGGATAAAGTGTTTCCTTCCTTCGTGCTAGCTTATTATGCTACTGGTTCATTGAGAACCAAGTGTATAGCCTTCAAGAGGGTTTTATATTGCTTACCTGGTTTATCGCTAGTCTTGCTGCTGCAGGTGGTGGGTCGCGGTTACGATATATACAGTGACCACATATGCACTATATAATACGTCGCCTGAGCGACACGCCACACGAAAGCGCATTGGCGTTTTAATGAAGTTTCTAAATGAACGAAATACAATGCATAACTCTTTTGTGTTCACATGAATCTATGAGTCTATATAAACAGGTCGTACGAAAATTAGAGTACGATGTTACATTTTCATACTGTTATTTTCAAACGTCTTCCATCTTCCAAACAGGTGGTTGCATTGCTTAAGAAGCGGTTAGACGTGTTCGGCGAAGCGGCCCTGCCAGTGCGGAACAACAATACCCACGATCCTAGGAGCTTTCCTGAAAACCACGGAGGAACTTGGGCGCCCTGGGTGCCATCAGACTGTCCGGCTTCGTACAGATGATGAAAGTAGATTTTATCAACGATTGCTAACGTAGTGTGTGGTGTGGGAATGCGTGAAAGAGCTAGTTGTGTGCGCCTGGGCTACCAAGCTGAGCTCGCTCCTGCTCGGGAATGTGTGGTGAAGTTCAACGGAAAACGTTCTGCGGCGTAGATTGGAGCACAGAAGTATGGACATGGACGTGCACGAGTGATATTTTGCTTTCGGTCATCTAATTCAATGTGCAATTGATTCGCCAGTGCTAGGTTGCTTTGAAGAATAGCGCAATGAAATTACGACTTCTGACATGAGAACTGAATCCTGTCTCGTTTCGTGGAGGCTTGTCATTGTCGTGACTCGTGAGGAGGGAACGTTAGAACTTTCATATTTATTAATAATTTCTATTATACCATGTTGCGTTGTTATTGCCATTGCTCGCCTTTCTTTATTTTTAGGGGTGAAGCTCCTTAGGGCGTGGGTCTGTCCATTCTTCGTTGATGTATGGAGCCACCCGTGGCACATACCCGTTCTAGAGCGGATATGTGCCACAGGGGATGTGAGATGGGAGATGGCGGTACCTTGAGTGTTCATTAGACGGATGCATGGACGAACGCGTGAACGGACAGACAGACAAACGATGGATGACGGATGGATGAACGGACGGATGGATGGACGCGCGGAGCGGATATCTGCCACAGGGGATGCGAGATGCGAGATGGTGGTACTTGGAGTGTTCACTAGATGGACGCATGGACGGACGGACAGACAGACAAGAAGGTGGACATGCAGATGACCGGACACGTGGACGGATGGACGCATGAACGGACGGACAGATGGACGGACGCATGGATGGACGCACGGATGGTCTCGCGCATGGACGGAAGCAAGAACGAGCGGACGGACCGATGGACGGAAGCACAGACGCGCTGACGGACGCTTCGCCCCACTCCTCATCATTCACTCCGTAAATAGGCTGTTTTTTTTTTGCCGACAGTTTTACGGCATATCTTATATACGTAATTGCAGCTGATACAAGTATCAGCAGTTTCTATTTTAAGCTTTTTAATGATGTTCCAAATTCATGTTCTTTGTGGCTTTTTTATTATTACTTTACTGTGTTTCGCTGACCTGTCTCCCTGTCATATCATGTCAAAGAGGGGATAGTTATGAAGGCTGCGGCTTTTTGCTCACACTTCTGCATCGCTAAAAATAGCGCAAGAAACAGCAAGTAACAAGTGCAGACAAACAGAAATGAATGTTTAGGTGGCCAATAAGTTTCTGTTCGTTACGTTCAGCAACCAGGTCGTCGGGAATGTCGTTCCGCAAGTCGATTGCACGTAAAATGATGCATTAAAATTGTCTCTTCAGTATTTCCCTTTTACTCATTTCTGTATGCGTGTCTGTAATAAAGACTTGGTCTTTGATGCACGTGACTCAAACACGCCAATGCAATCTTCGTCTGTTGCACACTTAGACAGTTAGTGGCGATGACCTTTGCCCCGGTACGTATTAATGAAGCAACAACGAAAGTGCTTCATCATGCAGGCTATTGTTTACATGCATCCTGCTATACATCAGTGCCGGCCACGGTGATCGTGTTTCAACAAAGGATAAAATAAAAAGAAGAAAAGGTAAGAAAGGAAGTAAGGAAGGAAGGTAGAAAACATCACATATATATTTAGAATCAGCAGACCCGAATGACAAAAGTTAATTTGTAGTCACCTGTTTATGACATGCCTTATAACCACATGGCGATTTTTTCAGGTAAAAACTCCGTAATTTTATTATTGGTCTCTTGCTGATCTATATAGTGTAGTTTTACTGCTTGCGGTGCAGATACTTCAAGATGATGTAAAAAAAATGACTGCTGTGATGGCCAATAACGACACCGGAGCTTGGGCGCCCGGCCTGTGAGAGTGAAGCAGAGGGTGACGAGGGGAGAATAAGAGCTGGCGTTAGGAAATATGTCAAGTCCTGTGAAAATTCAACGTCGAATGGCACGATACATCGAACTGACCCTAGCTTTTATGTGAGTTCGATATATGAAGGTTTGACTGTATTTTCACTTGATCTTAGAAACCTGAAAATGCTGCCTGCTATTGTATGCTGTACCATCGGGAACTTACGAATTAACGCGTCCGTTTAACAGGCTACTCATGCGATCTGTAGCGTTGCCTAGCAAGTAGTCTCTATGACCCGCTGATTATTGCAAAATGAACTTTTGCGGCATCGGATTGCGGCGTTTTCTACGGCCCAGTGCGTCATTTTCGACGGTCGCTTACTTCCAACAAGCGTATTCATCCTCGATATGCGATGAGTTCGTGGTCTGAGCGCCAGTTCTTCCGCTTTAAGCACACTTGAGCCTGCCGCAGTGAGGCAAAGCATGACCCTTAGTCGCGTGGTTTCACCTCATTTGTCGCGAAAGTTTTTCAAACGCAGGAAGAAAAATCAGCATGTTAGATGCACGTTGTGACAAAAAATTGGATTAGTAACTTTCTAACGTCATCTACGTTCTTAAGGACCTAATAAAGTTCACCCAGAAGGAAACGAGAAATTCAAGCAGCCGAGCCCCTACCCACATGCCCAACTTCTTCCAACCCCTCCCCCCCTTTAGAATATTTAGGATGCTTTGCCGCAAGACTTCCAAATACTGCGGCAAAGCAAACTTTAAAAATTAGTGTCAGCGTGGGAGTGGCGTTCATTTCTGGTATTGCCTTCCGGAAATGCAATATAAATTAAAAGATGAGAGTTGGGAGAGGTTTAGCGTTTGAAACTACAGACGTGGTCATACGTGGACTCTATGGGGTTTGTGGTGGTCCCATGAAGGCATTAGAACTTTCAAGCATGTTCGAAAAATCGGTCGTTTTGTCATCTTTATCAGTGACGTCTGTTGGCGTATGCCATCCGATATTATCCAAATCTAGACTGGCTGCGCAAGCACAAAAAAGAAAGAAAGTAAGTAAGTAATTAAGTAAGTAATTAAGTAAGGAAGAAGGAAAGTAAGGAAGAAAGAACTAAAGAAAAAATAGAGTGTAACGTCCTGCCTGCTTTGTACGCTCTATCCTGTTTTTTTTTTGTTCTGTCTTCTGCGCAGCAAGTCTTAAACCAAGTGGTGTGTAAAAAAGTATTGCTCAAATATTATAGTTTTCTTCGCATAAGCCTGCAGTATCCTTATTTTGATTTTTTCGTTGAATTCATTTACGAGCAATTATTGGTTATAACGCTGAAATTTTTGCGTTGATTGAGTACTACTATAAGGGGGTTCGACTGTATTCACACTTGGCTGTTCACGTCATGAAAATTTCTAGATGTGACAGACATCGTTACAATTTTTCAGCTGCCTCCAATGACCAAGAATTCCAGCCTCCTTCACTCACGTGAAAAGGAGAGAGAGAGAAAGAGAGAGATAAAAATGCAAGGAAAGGCAGGGAGGTTAACCAGACGCACATCCGGTTTGCTACCCTGCACTGGGGAAGGGATAAAGGGGAGAAAAGAGGTTGCAGGAAGATGAGAAGGTGCACACAATCACGAGCACACTCGGGGAGCACACACAGTCTATAGGCGGTCGCTCAGGTTTGTTGACTTTAGGTAAAGTAGCAGTGCTTTAGTTGCTTTCTGCGCAACTGAGGCAGATGCCCAAGGTCCTAGTATCTTCTGCACACAAAATGGTCCGGGGTCAAGTTGATTCAAAACCATCCGGAGCGGGCATCGCTGTGTGTCGTAGCAAGCGCAGCTGCACAGGACGTGTTCGATGGTCTCTTCAGCTCCGCAGTAGTCGCATGTAGGAGTGTCTGCCATACCAATGCGAAAGGAGTACACCTTTGTAAATGCAACACCCAACCAAAGGCGGCATAACAGTGTCGCATCGGAGCGGGAAAGTTGTGAAGGCCGCTTTAGCTTGAGCGAAGGATCCAGTTCATAAAATTGACACCTTTGGAATCTGGTAGACGACCAGAACGTGCGTGTGAGATCTCGAGCCAGCAGGTAAAGTTGTCTTGCTGCATCAATCCTTGATAGAGGAATCGGGACTACACGGGTTTCTTCATGGGCTGAGCGGGCAGCATCATCGGCTAATTGATTTCCGGTAATAACGATATGTCCAGGCAGCCATTGATATATAATATCATGCCCTCGTGCTAGAGCTTCATGATTGCAATGTCTTATTTCTTGTACCAATTGGTCATGACTCCTCCTACGCATGGCAGACTGCAAACTCTGAAGCGCTGCCTTCGAATCGCACAATATGACCCATTTTCCTGGACGTTCTTGAACGAGATATTGTAAAGCAGCCCTTATAGCAGCAAGCTCTGATGCCATAGATGCAGTCATATGCGACAACTTAAACTTGATTGTCATTGCTGTAGCCGGAATTACAGCGGCACCTGATGAGCTGCTGGACGAGACGGACCCATCAGTGTGAAAAGGAAATTCTGGGAAACTCAATCAGCTCCGTAAACTTATTCTGGATGTGGTTCAAGACTAGCTGCCCATTTGCGAATAAAGAGGCGAAGCGAAATACAGTGTGTGGCAATGACATAACTGTGATTCAGTTTCTAATTGCGGGACATATCTTCGACTGCGAAGTGATGCCTTGGCAGAAGGGTGTTTTCGAGTACCGTGATAGGGCAGGTAATCTACGGACGGCAGACCAATTTCAAAACGAACACGTGTCCAATCTACCACCCCTGTTTACCGTACACCCCTGTCCACTATGTTGGGGTAGGACCCAGCCATAGTGATTTTGGTTCACCCAAAAGCCATAATACCTTCTGGTGGGGCGAGCCACCCATTTTTTATTTGAAATTATTTTGTTCTTGTATAGGGGGACAAAAAAGAACACACACACACACACACACACACACACACACACACACACACACACACACACACACACACACACACACACACACACACACACACACACACACACACACACACACACACACACACACACACACACACACACACGCGCAACATAGGCAGTAAACAATGGCAAGCAATAAATTTAATAATATATTCGTTTTATTACGCTTTATTCATGAAACACATGCTCAAATCACAGAATACATGCCAATGTGTGACTTATGTTTCTAAGAATCTATTTTAGCATAGTCCAATATGCTGCATTGGAGAAGAAAACAGTGATTGGACACTCGTTATCAGTAAATACGAAAAAATTACCACAAATGTTCTCCTAACAGCAGCATTAACATAACTGAGGCGCCATCTATTGCTGGCGACTGTAGCATCCAGCTAGGGGCTAGGGGCTCGTTGGAGCGAACTGAAGAGATGGCGCGACGATACCAATAATCAC